CAAAAGTGCAACAATCGGTTTCTGCGAACCTTCCCCGCAAACATACTTTGCACCAAATTGCAATCGAAGTTATCAAACCCACTGCACTGTGAGGCCTGGGACAAGTGACATGCTTGAAACCCAGCCACAGTCTGGAGTCTTGCCCAGATGTAACTGGACTGCCCATATATCCCAACAACCTCAAAACCAACCAGACGTTCGGGGCCCGACAGAGTTCCCCTTACCCGGATTGTTTGTTTCTGTCCTTAGATCCAAGATCAGAGATTAGAAACAAAGAATCCACGATAAGTGGGACCTCACCTCCGGATGACCATCCAGGTGTTCGGATGTGTGAGATACAACAAAATAAAAAGTGACAAGGAGTTGCAGAAAACTTAAGGCATACTCTTGTCATGTGCCATTTCACCTTTCCAACTGTAAAAGGGATGCTGGGCCATCGTGCTGGTGTCTTCACACAGCGAGAGCCAGAGAGTTCGAAAGACCTAAAAAAGGGGTAAGATCACGTGAAAATGAAAAGAAATCAGAAAAGGGAAAGACAAAAAGAGAAAACCAAACAAATATGGAAAGGAGAAATCTCACACGGAATGAATACAGTGCCTATATCATTTGCTGAGTGGATTTGGCAGTCGTCACGGCTACAGAATAGAAGTAAGCAACAACAGGAGGTCGTGACGCTTTCAAAAACTGCCTTCCCACTCTGCCTGCATTTTCTTCTCGTTTTCCTGTTAATGCATCTGCCCATGAATCCAGGCAGATTCATTTACCCGTTGCTCTAGATTTCTTGGGCTGTTGCTGCCATCATAATGTTGATGGGATGGCAGAGGGCAGTAATCCTCACATTCTCTCCCTTCATTTCTTATTCCTTCGGGGATGTATGAGGCCACTATCACAACCAGATTCATTTGCTGGCATGTTTTCTTTATCCCTTTTACGCCGATCTCCCCTTGGTCTCTGTGGCCCCTCTGATGATAGACAGAGGGAATGGGCATAAACGAGAAACGTTTCTTTGCTCCTGCCAGGCGCACAACTGACCATCCCAGTCACCCCCCCCCCCCCCCCGCTATTTAATTTCCTATGGAGGGGCTCATCCAGACCACCCATACACACATCCAGACGCTGGCATCCGGATCCAGTCAGCCTGGATGGCTACCCGAACATTCGGATTGTAAAAATGCCTCAAAAACAAGCAAATTCCCTTCCCTTCCTCATCTCCGACTGTGGTGATATTTATCCATAAGAACTTGCTGAGCTGGGAAATGACAAGTATTATTTCTTTTCCTTCACAAGCACCAAATGTCGCTTTCCATTTTCCTTGCTTTTCCACATTTTGAAAAAAATCATTGTTTCTTTCCCCCACTGTTTTTCATTTGTCTTGTCTGTCTACTTTTCCAAATCGTGTCTTACTCTTTTCTGTACACACACCACTTCATGAAGAGAAACAAAGCCGAGAAACTGCCTGCCATAAAAGTTATCAAAACCAGAGAGCGGACAAAACACAAAAGCACCTCACAGGCCGACACACAAAATGCACATCAGACTCAAGCATGGAGAGGATGGGAGTTGGGCCTAACTTCAGGAAGTGGATAAGAGTGCTGTACAACAACACCCACGGTCAGGTGCAGGTCAACAGTCACCTATCTGCGAAGTACAAGATGTCAAGCTCGGTGCAACAGGGGTACCCGATGGCGCCACCAATTTTTCTGCTTATAATGGAGGCAGTGACTTCCTTCCTCAGGAAGGATCCCTCAATCCAGAGGTTTGTAGGGGAGCCAGACCTGCAAGGAAGGCCTTTCGCTATCCCAACGACTATACTCTTCGCAGACGACCTCACAGTACTAATTTGGGCCTCAGATTCATCGTTTGCGGCACTAACAAGGACAACGCAGGCATTCCAGCTGGCCGAAAACACTGGGATGGTGGTTATCAGAATTGCAGGAAAAAGGGCCAACCCCGGGCATCAACCCAGAAGGAATGCAGTGGGTGAAATACAAGGAGCCTTTGAAGTACTCGGGGGTTAAGACCACGGGGCCGGGCCCACATCACTCAATGGCACCGGAAATTCTGGCAAAAAAGATAGCCAAGCTCGGTTCCTGGTGACCGGTATACACGTCAATCTTCGGGAGGGCACTGATACTAAATGCGTCAATTTTCTCGATGCTTTGGTACGTGGGCACAATATGGAACCCACCAGACCAGTCAGCAGCAGGGGAGGGCAGCAGCATACCTACAGACAGAAGACCCATCCAGACAACAGTTCATATCAAAGTTCGTGACCTTGAAAAAAGAGAAGGGTGGCTTAGGAATTATCGACCCTGAGCTGCAGCTTAAGGCTCTACAAACTAAATTAAGATTCTGACTAATCCTGCACAGCCGCGGGTTCCATTCACACTCTAACAGATCCGGAAGTTAGCAAGGTTCAAAATGCCCCACAACATGGCAGGGACCATTTGGCTAATGAGCAACGGGTGGGAGAGAACCAGCAGGGACCCCAATGGGGAGGAGGCTGGAACAAGAGGCGAACGGGAGGTCCGCTACTGGAGCCAGCTTCTCCAGCTCTGGGAGGAAATCTTCCCTGCCCAGGTCCATGAACCAAGTACGAGGGAAGAGGTATTGAGGCCGCCGCTGTTCTGCAACCACTGGATTAGAGACAGCCAGGGTAAACCGAGAATGCTATCCGCCCGGGACTCCAAATGGGGAACATGGGTGGAGCATGGGATATGGCAGGTGAAGCATCTCTGGTCAGAAGCGGAAGGGAGGTAGAAAACAGCAGGGCAATTAAGAGCAGAACTAAAAGGCAGCCACAGACCCCTAGAAAACATCAGCGACGGACTGATATCAATCCCAGAGAGGTGGAATCTGGGCCACTTGGAAGCAGGGTGGAACACCCATTGAAGCATTTCGCATACAGCACACGGAGGGACCACAAGGAGACTGGCTATGCACAGACATGCTTACAATTGTACAACCAGGAGCAACTACTAGTAAGCTTGATAAGGATTCTCGAACCCCAGTTACTATTAGAGCACACAAACTCAATAAGGTGAGGGTAGTGGAGAAAAAGGAATTCACCATTTACGACCCCACAACAGAAGTGGAACACCTGGAGTTCGACCCAGCGGTGTGGGATGGAATATGAGGGGAGGCATGCTAAGGATAGCTAGAAGATCAAACATTCCGGAGTACAAAACACGACTAGGTTACAAGCTTAGAAGAAGGCCCTGCCAACTGAAGGAAACACTGCATAAGAGGTGGTCGGACAAGATGGGAGTACTGCAGGCTCAACTACCAAGCCTTCCGTGGACCACGTTGGATTCGATCAGACTTGGGAAAGTCAGGAGTCTGCAATGGCTCATCCTATACGTCGCTCTCCCATTGAATAAGTGGCTTTATGAGCGAAGGAACCATGATCACAGGGAAACCAGGCAGGAGAAATGTGTAAGCTCTAATGAAGATGCAACGGAGACAGTGTCACACTGCCTGCTCACGTGCCAAGAGGCACAAGCAATATAGGATTTCGTGAAACTAATTTGGAAAGAAGCGGCCACATCGCCTTTCCCTCAGAGTGAAGTCACTCCACTAACAGGGACAGCATTACCAAGAGCTTGGCAAGGAGGAGAGAAGAAAACTTTCCAACTGTTAAGACAGTATGACCTATAGACTAAAGGGAAGAGTATGACCTATAGACTAAAGGGAAGAGAAGATATCAAGGGACAATCGAAGGACGGCCAATGCACAGGCAGGAGGCAATCGGAATATTGGACATCCGTGCACAATGGAAGAGAACACGGCAGCGGATGGAACAAAATACAGAGAAGGCCAAGCAAATCAAGAGACGCTTTGAGCAAATCGGCCTCAGCAAAGGGAGGATAGCATCAATAGAAGGTCCTCCGCTCATCTTGAAATGGAAAGGGGTGCTGGAAGAGCAGCAGGAGCACACATCAACCGGAATGCAGCAGGGTGGGTCAGCAGGGGAAGTGGGGAGGAGTTCAGCTCGGTCTCAAGAACACAGTGCAAACCTGGGGCAAAACTAAAAAACACCCTGTCCCCAGGGTTTAGGGTTTAGCAGAAAGGTTCGGTACCAGAAAGGGGGTGACAAAAGTAGGGTACTTATTTAACTGGGATTTACAAATGGACGTCGGATAGAAGGCAGGTAAGGCTTAGAGTAAGCGAAAACAGGCAGAATTCAGCATAGATTTAGGAGAAGATAGGAAGGATAGGTAATAGTGGGGAGCATTCTTAATTTATCGCATTCGCAGGATTCCTTTGGGCCCAGTTAAAAGGATGACCCGGGGAGGGTTCCCTGAAAAAGAAGGGCACAGGGAAAAAGAGAGGACAAGAGTAGAGGGTTAGAGGAATCGCAGGTTGGCAGAATCTAGATTGAAGGAAGTATAGGTGAGAACACTAGGGTTTAGGGTTTAGGTTCACATCGATGGAGTATAGGATTTACTTTTTGAAGGGCACGTCTTCTTTGGGTCCCATGGGGTCCGGTCAAAAACATAACACTGGGTAAGGCTCCCACATCCGGTCTTTATGTGGGGTGGCCAGACCCCCTCTTTTGAGTAATAAATGAATGGTCTTTAAAAAAATAAAATAACAAACTACAAAAAACATTGGGTAAGGCTCCCACATCCGGTCTTTATGTGGGGTGGCCAGACCCCCTCTTTTGAGTAATAAATGAATGGTCTTTAAAAAAATAA